GTTGATTTGCCACCAGTTGGGGTTGAGGGGGTGATTTGCCACCAGTTGGTGAGTTTAGGGGGTGATCTACACCTTTTGCCAAAAATTAATTCGGTCACAGAAATTTATGGATTTAAATATAATATCAGCGTTGGACAATTGGTTTAAATTAAATTGGACATATGCAGTCATCTCTTTTACCAACCTCAGGCATGTCTCCCTCCGCGTATCAAACAGGAAACTCTTTCCTCCAAAAATCTTATAATAATCTTGTCGTCTCTTCTCTGACTTCTTTCTGTCACAGACATTTTTTTTTTCCCGAAGACTGATGTTAGATTCTTAAGTATGAATGCACACTAATTTTTCAATCTTAAACTTTTTTTAAATTTTTTGAAAGTGCTTGGAAGTTCACTTTCTCCTTAGATTCAAGTGCCCCTCGGAAAAGTCCAAATTCGTCTATAAATACCATACGCCTCCTTGGAGATACCTAATATCCAGCGTCGTAACACATATGGAGGCAAAGTCTGGTGGCAACAATCATGGCGGAATGTCTTCCAATTACAGGGGCGTGAGGAAGAGGAAATGGGGCAAATGGGTGTCTGAGATTCGCGAGCCAGGGACAAAGACACGGATTTGGTTAGGAAGTTTTGAGACGGAGGAAATGGCTGCCGCAGCTTACGATGCTGCGGCGTTGCATTTCCGGGGTCGAGAGGCGCGACTCAATTTTCCAAACTTGGCAAATTGTCTTCCCAAGCCAGCTAGTTCCAATGCAGAAGATATTCGCATGGCGGCTCGTGAGGCGGCATTACGGGCTCGAAACAGTGGTCGTTCAACGGCGGGGGCGGCGGCTGCTGCTGAGGCAGGAAGCTCTAGCAGGAATCAATTCCCTGTCACAGTCAGGCTGTCCCCGACCGAAATTCAGGCGATTAACGACTCACCTTTGGATTCGACAGAGATGTGGATGGGGGACGAGTCCATGATGTTTTGCAACGATGCAGAGGAGGAAAGTGCCTGGGACGACATGCAAAGTGACTCTCTTTGGGATCCTTAATTAGGGAATTTTTTTTCCTTTAAATGAAATATGGAATAACTTATTTTCATTATACGATATAGGAAAGGACTGAGGAGTGCTAGATTTTAGAAGCTTGGAGAGAAGTATAGAAATAAACATTAATAAGGACTTATGTGGAATTTTTTAAAAGTTGGAGATCTGATTTATGTTTTTTTGTACATTTGTAAGGATTTGAGGTGTTTGATGTTGACAGAGATAGCATTGCCAAGTGTATGGGCCTAGTGCTTCCTATTAGAGATTTTGGCGGGCCCATTCCAATATTGGAGGAGGAAGCCTGCAAGGAATGTCTTCGGTTGCACAATGAAAGGTCCACCACCTTTCATTTTGTTACCATTTATTAAATAAAAATTTCTCTTAGTTTGTGTTATTTTCTATAATTTTAATCTTAAACTGAATCATTTTAACCATTACAAATCCTTCCGATAATACAATTGCTAAAAAGTAGTAGGAGAAATTCTATTATGCAAATAAGATACCAACACGTTATCTCAAATGGTGCTTGGAAAATGATGTGGGATATATCTGCTATGCCAAAGGCAATTTCTTTCTTATGGAAGGCTTTTTCAAATATTCTGCCTGTTATGATCAATTTGTTCAAAAGGAAAATAGTTCAATGTCCCTTATGTCCTATATGCCATCGGTATAAGGAAATTATACATGGAGGATTGTCCTTTTTTGTGTAAGTGGGTACAAGGTGTGTGGTTTGTGGGGGCTTTTGAATTATAAAATTGATAGGCAAAGTTTGTCCAGTAATGATGACTGGTTTTATGGCTATTTGTGGGGATAAACCTTTATCCATTGTTGAGAGAGGGCCAGATCTCCTGATACTGATTATAGCTATACGTGTTGAATGATCTGGAAAAGTAGATGTGAAGTGGTTTATGAGAATAGGGAGGTTAATAGCCTAAGCACTATGGCTAAGGCTTCTAGTTTAGTGCTTGAGTGATTGGAAAATTGCTGTGGGAGGGGAGGTGTGAAAACAGATGAATTCCCCTACTCTTATGGGTTGGGAGCGGCCTGAACAAGGTTATGTGAGGATTAATTGTGATGGCTCTTTAAGTTGCCTGATTTACTTGGTGGTTTTGGTGTGGTTGTAAGAAATAGTGAATGGTATGTTGATCAGTGGTGATAATGGTCTAGCATATGCTAGTTAGTTCAACTCATGATTGAGGCAATTGCTCTACTGAAAGGAATGCAGCTACCTGTTAAGATGAATTACAGTTTAACCGTGTTTGAGTTTGATTCCAAAGACTGGTTCGATTTTATCCAAGATGATACAAGAGTTCACTGCTCAGCAGCTTCAGTTGCACAAGAGTTGAAGACCATTAAGAGCTCTTTTCCTCATTGGAAGCTTTCCCTGGTAACTAGAAAAGTGAATGAAGCTGCAGCAAATTGGGTAGCTGAACAAAGCAGGAAGCTAACATGTCCTTGCAACTGGATTAATTGTCCTCCACTTGGTCTTGTTCAGATTATGAACAAGGACCAAGTAGTTAGTTGTATCTTTGTTTGTATAGTTGTTGCAAAATAAGACTTAACTGTGTTTGTATGTAGACTCCATATTTTCTCCTAATAAAATCCCCTATTATTTTTTAGGAAACAAAAAAAAAAAACAAGATACCAGCTAACTTGGAGGAAAGACGAGAGAGAAAGAGAGACATAAAAGAGAGAAAATACAAGTTTGCCATAAAGGTTTTGTTAATTTGATAATGTATTATTTTTTTATCAAATCGGATGAGGTATCCTAGATGTAATAAAGTTTTTTTATTATAGAAGTTGATGTTTTCCTATTTTTTTATTTATTTTAATTAAAACTATATTATATGTTTACTGATTTAAACTCATAACTTTTATATTTTCTAAGATAATAAATCTTAAATCATAACTTTTATATTTTTTAAGACAATAAATCATTAGCTTTACAACTTTCAAATGGATTGTTGGGGTTGGCTTTTATTTATTGTTGAGATGCAGACAAGTTTGACCTTAAACAACTTGAATTGAATATATCAAAAATCTCAATTTTGCAACTAGGGTAAAAATTAATTAAATATGGTAAACAAATGTAGTGTAAAAATTAAAACAGAAACGCCTAGTAGACATTTCATTGAATTGCAACATCATTCTCAAAAACAAGAATTATTAAGTGGAAAATAACTTTTGAGATTGTCTTTATATATATATATA